AAAAAAAAAAAAAAAAATAGTGAGACTCTGAGCGTTGTAGCAGGTGCTTATAGTCCCAGCTACTAGGGAGGCTGAGGCAAAAGAATTGCTTAACCCTAAGAGTCAGAGGTTGCTGTGAGCTATGACGCTACGGCACTCTACCGAGGGCAACAAAACAAGACTGTCTCAAAAAGAAAAATTGGAAATAGGAAGGCAGGGAAACCCAGCTCCCACCCTCAGGGCTCCTGCCCCATCAGCCACACCTGGAGCCCTGGAGTGGGCGGAAACAGGTTCTTCTCACAAAGCCAGTTCCAGCGGCCTCTGTGTCCAACCTCAAGTTGACAAGGACTTTATTAGTGGTGAGGGTCTGGAAGGGGCAAGCTTGGAACCCCAGAGTAAGGGCTGGCAACATGGTGACAAGGGAGGCAGGCACATTCTGATAGAAGACCCCAGGAGGAAAATGGTGAGGGGAACACAGTGTGGGATAGACCCTGACAGGCTGGCCAGGTTCAAATCCAGCCTGACTTTTCTGTGCCTCAGTTTTCTGACCCAAGTCAATCTGGGTCAGTTAAGACTGACCTCACAGGGTTGCAGTGAGCATGCCAAGCGATGGGCACAGAGGAAGCAATCCCACCTGTTCCCTATTAACATCATAAAATGCATCGGACAGGTTTTGGGGTGACCTCGACCTCCTTACTTGGGTCTTTGACAACTGTGCCTCTCTGTCTTCACAATGGGCCTCATAATTCTGTCTCCAGGCATGCTGAGAGTTGTGGGGCTGGCATTAGTCCACCCGGACCCAGCCATTGTCTTGCCCAGAATGCGTCCACCATGGTAACAATAACAATGAATGATAGTAATAACAATAATAGTAGCAAACACCCATTCAACTTTTGCCATGTTCTCAGCACTGCAGATCCCCAGTCTAAGGACACCAAGGCACCAAGAGCTGCACGTGCACAGAAATCTCCCGAGGAGCTTGTGAAATGCAGATTCCGACCCAGGAGGTCCGGGCCCAAGATCCTGCATTTCTCACATGCTCTCAGGTGATGCTAATGGTTGGGGACTGCACTTTGAATAGCAATGAGGACCAAACTGGGTAGAGTCCTGGGCTTAACTGCTACTCTAACTGCCTGCCCCAGCCTGGTTTTCTCTCCCCAACAAAGAAGAGGCAGGAAGTATCATTCCCCTCCCCCATGCCCATTTCCTCTCTCTGGGTCCCTGTACCTCCTTCATGCTGACATCTGGCTCAGAGTCCCAGGGGTCCTCCCTGTGAGTAGCATGGAGGTTCTCAGATGCTCATTAACCAGGAAGATAATTAAGGGTGAGGGGTGAGCTCACCCAGCCCTCTGGGCCTGCTCTGCACCCAATCCCCCAGGTGCTGGAGGGGCTGGGATAAGGAAGGAGGTTGTGGGGGTGAAGTGGCCTTGACCAGCTTAGGGGAAACTCCCTACAGCTGGGCCTCTCTGCCTAGCCCACAGCCACCCGGCCTGGTTGGCTCTGGTTCCTGCTCCTGGGAAGCCCTGCAACAGTTCCAGGCCGATAAACAAAATGAAAATTGTTTGGGCAAGGGGAATTTCCTGAAGGGTGAAGTTAGGTGGAGCACAGAGAGGACATCATCTAGCTCCGCTGTGAGTTTCAGAGAAACACTTTATGCTGCTGGTGGGACTGCAAACTAATACAACCTTTTTGGAAGGAAGTATGGCAAACCCTCAAAGAACTCAAGCTAGACCTCCCATTTGATCCTGCAATCCCATTACTGGGTATCTATCCAGAAGGCAAAAGATCCTTTTATCATAAAGACATTTGCACTAGACTGTTTGTGGCAGCTCAATTTACAATCGCCAAATTGTAGACACAGCCCAAATGCCCACCAACCCAGGAAGCTGTGGTATATGTATACCATGGAATACTATTCAGCCACAATAAAGATGGTGACTTTACATCTTTTGTATTAACCTGGATGGAGGTGGAATACATTCTTCTTAGTAAAGCATCACAAGAAAGGAGAAGCATGAATCCAATGTACTCAATTCTGATATGAGGACGATTGATGCTACTACATGGTGGGGGGTGGGAGAATGGGGAAGTGGAGAGAGGGAAGAGGGAGGGGGTGGGGCTCACGGTGTGTGATACACCTCCGGGGGGCAGGACACAATTATAAGAGGGACTTGACCTGACAAATGCAAGCAATGTAACCTGGATCTTTGTACTTTCAATGAATCCCCAACAATAAAAAAAGGAACACAAAAAGTCTTCACATAATAGGGACTCAATTAGAAAAAATCTGTCATGTTGTAGTTTCTTAACATTTAAATGCAAAATTCTAGATTCAGCAATGAAGTTCATGTTTTACAATGTAATCTATAAACTATAATCTTCCTTTTTAAAAAAGGTAAAAAGAAATAGGTGAAGTTAATTTTAATAATTTTTTATCCCACTATATCCTAACCCAGTATATGGAATCAATATAAAAATTATTAATGGGATTTCGGCATTCTGTTCTCATGTTGTACAAGAGACTGGGGGCTGAAACAATAGAAATTATTTCTCACACTCTGAGAGGCTGAAAGTCTAAGGAGCAAGGTTGGTTTCTGGTGTGGCCGCCTTCCCCTGTGACTTACATACGTGTGGCCTTTTCTCTGTGTGAGGGCGCCCTTGACCCCTGTGCCTCACAGGTGTATGGCTCCTTCTCTGTGTGAGGGCGCCCTTGGTATTTATTTCTTCCTCTTCTTATAGAGACACCAGTCAGACTGGATGGGAGCTCACCCCAACAGCCTCATTTTAACTTAATCACCCCTTTAAAGGCCCTTTGTCAATGGGTACACTAGCTCC